CTACTATTTAGGGTTGAGGGGTTAGGCCTTTAAAAAGGGTTAACTCAACCCCGAAGTAGGACAGCTGTGATGAACATATGGCTCTTATTATTATTAGGTCCTCTTCACTGGGGCTACGAAATCTTCTTATCAGTTTCGGGGTCAGAGTTTATAGAGTGGAGCTTCACGGTGGGGTTTGGAGATTACTCTCTTCTGACACTAGCATGGTACCACACACAACGTGCGTTTAAAGGGGCAGTAGTTTGGATAAGGCGATTTCAGGTTCCAGCTTATTCAGGGTGCGGGTAGCTAGGTTCAGCTCCACTACAACAGCGATATCTGAAAGTGAATTGTGTGGGTCCAGTGAGGCTTGGTTTTGGGGTTAGGTCGTCAAAGCTATGGCCCTTTCTTGGGTCCCCTCTATACTACGGCCCTGGCTGTTAACGGCACCCAAAAACTCAGGGCATAATCTTTGACAACCTACCATTAACGTTGTTCAGGCTTGACACAATGCTGATTATGAACTTGTCGCTGTCTGGGGCAGTTCCTACGACATCCTATACGGGATGAGGGATCGCGGCTTGGAATGGCTTGTGGCGTAGGGCCTAGTGTTTATCTAGATCCCCTAGCACAAGCAGGGGCTTCTAAAAATTATGTGCACCTTGTTGAGGGGTCGGCGAAACAAAGCTTCTCAAGTTTTGGAGCATGGCGGCCATCGATTTTTGACCAATTTCCAGAATCTAACACAAGGCACGAATTCTTGGATGGTCTTTGATGGAGGTAGCATTTACGTAGACGATGAACTCTTTCTATCAACTACCAGCTATTCCTGTTGAGATGCTCCACACCCTGAACCTAAGCCCTGAACCTACACGCGAAACCCTTAATGGTAGTTTCCCTAGATAGGGAACCCGAATATACCCGAATATATATTCCCAATATACCCGAATATATATATATATATTACCATCCTTATTATAGGGACCCCTAATCTTCGGGAAACTCCAAATCCTCAACCTGCAGCATGTGATCAACCAGGCTGGGCTATTAGATATTACAACTTATAAGCCCGCTAGTCCACCTTTCTTCGGATCGGAATGGGGAATGTTAAGGTAATCCCTTCCCCCTTAGCCCTCCAGTGTTGCCTGACTAATAAGTTTAGCAGCCTAAACGAAAGAGTATTCTTAAAAGGGGAAGACTACCTTTTAGAAAGGGCCATTGCCCTTCCTGTCAGGTTTTCTGAACTTATAGCCTACAGAAAAGCGCATCATGGGGTGGATATGGGTCCCTAGAACGAGTGTAGGTTTAGGGAATCGGGTTTAGGGTTTGCGATGAGGGCTTGGAGTTTACAGTGGAGAGTTTAGGGTCTTGGCTCATGTTGGGTGCATCTCGGGGGGGAGCCTTGATCTTAGCAGTACTCGCATGGACGAATGCGAAGGGCAGGGTAGCGCGTAGGTATCTGTGTTTCAGTGGTCCTGATTCTACAGTCGTTCCTTGTGGGGGTTAGCTCTTGGCCCAAAGCCCTTGAGCCTACAAATCCTTGAAGCTCTTTTTTCTCAGTCCCCAGTCCTAGGTGCTAAACCTTGACACTCTGAACCCGAAGCCCTATAGACCCCAAAACCCGAAGCCCTAAGCCCTATAGACCCAAAACCGGAAACCCTGACCTTTCTTGCATCCAAGGGAGCACATGAAGGAGTTCCAGGACACATTGGACGCTGACCTGGAGGACCTTAATGCCTCAAAGGCAGGTGGTCGAAGTCTCAGAGTTTGGGCGTGGGAGTGAAGGGATTACATATAGGGGTTATATAGGTGGAATATAGGGGTTATACATATACATGTATATACAGTGGGTATATAGGGATATGTAGGGTTTAGAGTTTAGAGTTTAAGGGTTTAGGGTTTAGGGTTTAGGGCTTATTGCTTAGGGGTCTGACTTCGGATTCTTCAACGTTTGGGTTCTGGGTTCAGGCCCTAAACCCCCAGACTTTCCAAACCCCAAGCCCCAGGTGCTGAACCCTATAAGCCTTAAACCTGCAATCCTGAGCCCTCCATCCCAAGTCCTAAGCCTAGTGGTTAGGGTTTAGGGCATTTCAACTCAAAAACCCTAAGTCGGAAAATGTTACCCTAAGGGTTTCAGTACCTAGTTATCACATACCCAAATCCTGCATTATGAATATTGTTACCCAGAGCCCAAGAACCTAATTATTGGGTACTTGGACCCTCTGTGTTAGAGTATGGGCGCTACCCATGGTGATAGAGGCCTCGGCCTTAGATCTTCAGGGTCGCTCAACGCCGCGCAGGGATTACGCCCAGCAACAAACCCACCACAGAAATACAGCCTGCCAGAGACTGGGATCAAGAACCGCATGCCACACGCTTCGCAACAATTGTGCCTGGGGGGCTGGGCTTGTTGTTTTAGAATGAGAGATTCCAGGGCTTCGGACGGGGTCTTGGATTCGGGTTTCGGCCGGTGGGATGGGGCGCTACTGCTTGCGTCGCCTGCTATGCTAGGGGGTTTATGTGTGGCTGCTACGTCGCGGGCCGTTGTATTTTGTTGACGTTATTGGCGTCCTTGTGTTACTCAGCAGCTTGGGACGCCCCACGTTCGGTGTGGACCTTTTGCTTGGTCACTCAAAACCCGATAAGGGCTTTGACCATGCATGGTTGAGTCGTAGCGCATCTTTGTACGAAGCTGCCATGTATATAGGTTCTGTGCTTTTTAAATTTGTGGTCCTGCGCTTCGAAGAATGACATAGCCAGTGAAGTGACTGCTATGGGCTATAACTGAACCCCAAACCCAAACATTCCGCACTCGGCTTGCTGTCAGCAGCCGATGGTATTCCCCGTCACGCTGAAGCCCAACCCCAAGCGAGCTCTCTTTGCGCAGGGTTACTGCCTGCATTGCCGGAACACAGGTTAATTTGTAAGGACCGGCTCAATTCCTTCAAGGATGAGGGAAGAGAATACACTTGCCTAACGCTCAACCCCGAGCCCTAGACCTCAGACCTTAAACCTAAACAAGCAACTAGTTTCCGTTTGCTTGCAGTAAGACAATCATTGTGAACCGTTTCTTTCTGAGGCTCCGGCAAGAGCGAAGAAGGGGACGAAGATGAAAACGGTGACGAGGACGAGAACGAGGATGCAGAGGATGAGGATGAGGATGATGAGGTTAGGACGTAGAAGTTCTACCGTAGAAGGTCTTGTGGGGTTATGGATTACGGTCAGTAAAGTGTTTGGACCATCTGACTCCATGGTACGACACATAGCTTGGAATCTCGGAAACTTCTGGAATGTGGTATTTCATCCAGGTCTTGTCGTGGGTTGAAGTTCTTGCAGGCAGGTTTTCCATGCTATAACTGGAGCGGCGCATGCGTTGTTGTAAGGGCTTTCAAGATTCATGGCATTACAATCTTTACCTGTGTTGTTATATTCATGAGTATGATCGTTGCTAGTACCATGTCTAGCATCAGTCAATTCAGAAATGATGCTGAGATGAGCAGTAAGATTGGCCTGGCTAAGAAGCATTTCAGCTCAGCCACATCAAGGGTTGATAGTAACAGGGATACTCGTATAGCAATTGTATTCATAGTTGGCAGTCGGAATAATGGTAGTACTACGGGCCTCTCATGCTGCTGTCTTCCCAGCGTTTAGTCTTCTGAGATTCAGCCAGATGCTGGCGTCAGCTCTTGTTCACTTGCTTCTCAATCAGACAGTATGATGTAGCAGCAGGCGCCCAAGAAATGGCTTGTCGTCATGCTACAATCATGTCGTCAGCTAGTTGACAGTTGGGGCCCAGTGCGAATCAGGTCTCCATGGAGATTAGCTCCAGATCTGCGCGAAGAACGCCAGTCCCCAGCCCAGAGTAAACTTGTACCTCGAAAAGGTACAAATACAAGAGCTCTGGCTACGAAGGCAATGTAGGTACATTCATTATTCCCTGAGCCTTAACCCTAAACCCTAAGCCCTTGAACCCTAAAGCCCTAAAACCTAAACTCAAAGCCCCTAAACCCTAAAACTCAAAACCCCTAAACCTTAAAACTAAAAACACACTTGATCCTAAAACCCTTAAGCCCTTAAACCCTACAACCCCAAGCCCTATACTATCACTACAATAGTCAGGCCCCTATTCTACTACACCTGAATGTGTGGATTTTCCTGTGTCTCGCGAGGCCGAAGAAGGACCTGGAAATTCTGCGGAGGAGGACCAAGCATGGAAGGTTTAGGGCTCAGGGTTTAGGGTTCAGGGTTTAGGGTTTACGGTTTGGATTTGGGGCAGGATACTTGGAGGCTCGTGGGATGTAGTAACTACTTATACCTGGGCGGGGCGTATCTCATTGTTTTACAAGCAGGGTTATAAGCCCAGCTTTTAATAGTTACTACGTGCACTCTATGACGATTTTGTGGCTCTTATAGCAAGGCTCCTTATCCGGGCTAGGCTCACCAAAATCATCGTATTGGACCTAGGGAGGATTAGGGAGGACATTTCTCGGTTAAGTGCCAGGCCAGCAGGCAATATCTACCCAGACCATCCTATGTAGTTCCTTTTTGGGTAGTATATTATTGTAATCCCTTACCAAAAGACCATAACAAACCCACAAAAGAGCTACATAGGGGCCCCTGAGTAATGGCCTCTTACGGAGCAACTACGGACTAAGCTTGCGTAGTTGTTTAAGGGATACTGTAGTCACCGATATGCAGAGAAAGCATCATGTCCTTGTGGCTGCGGTTGCAGCATTATGTCAGACAAGTTTATATGTAGTAGTCTCCCAAAACAACAAAATGACCCCAATGTAGACCCCCAAATATTGAATTAAAATCCGTAGCATAGGTGGCCCTAAAAGGCCCACCCCAATTTGTCGAAACCTCCACAATCTTCCTCGAATCAACCCTAAACCCTACGCCATAAACCATGCAACAAACACAAGTGTCACCAGCATTTTGCGGTGTGTCTAGCTAGCTCTCAGCCGGTCGAAACCATGAAACCCCCTAAACCTTAAACCCTAAACCTTAAACCCTAAAGCTTAAACCCTAAACCCTGAACCCTAGGTGTCCTTGAGGTTTGAAGGCCCCAGATGTCCTTCAGGTTTGAAGGCGTAACTTGTGTGGAGGCATTGGGTTTCGGGTTTACTGTGGCAGTGCCCCCATGGACCTTCATGTGTAAGTTGCCTGATATCCGCTGAGCGCCGTGACGAGATCTCATGGTTGGTCTTGGCTGGTAAGGGTTTAGGGTTTAGAGTGTAGGGGGCCTCTTGATGAAGGCAACTGCGCAATATTCGGGATCCTCTAACATTGCATTCTTACGAATTCCTCTCTATTAGAACCCCATATTCAGTAGGTTCCCCTTTGTTTTCCACTCGATCTTCCCGTTGATTTTCCCTTACCCTTCTATAATCCCTATAGAACCCATATCCTAAACGCAAACTCGAGCTCTTAAATCTTAAGCCCTCAACCCTAAACCTTAAAAACCTTAAACCCCTAAACCGTAAACCTTAAAACCGCAAACCCTAAACCTTAAACATCACCCTCAACCCTAAACCTTAAACCTTGAAACCCTAAACCCTCAACCTTAAGCCTTAACACCCTAAACCGTAGACCTTAAGTCTTAAACCTTAAGCCTTAACAACCTTAAACCCTAAACCTCAAACTTTAAACCTTAAACTTTACACCTTAAGCCTTAAACTTTAAACCTTAAACCTTAAGCCTAACCCTAAACCCTAAACCTTAAACCTTAAACCTTAAACCTAACCCTAAATCCTAAACCTTAAGCCTAACCCTCAACCCTAAACCTTAAACCTTGAAACCCTAAACCCTTGAAACCCTAAACCCCAAATCATAAACCTTAACCCTATCATGCACAGACTGAAGGATGGTGTAGGAGTTTCTCCATCCATAGGTCCCTGGAACCTTGTCCTCTTGTTGGGTTTAGGATTTAGGGTTTAGGTTAGGATTGAGGATATCAAATTAAGGATTTAGGATGTAAGATTTATGTAGGACTTCGGGTTTAGGGTGTGCCTTCTCAGAGGTGCCAAGTGTATAGGATATAGGAGAGGGGATGTACAGAGTTTAAAGGTTTAGGGTATTTTCTGCAACCCTGTAACCCGACTCTACTATTTGTCCATAAGGGGTTTGGGTAACCCCAGCACCACCCAACAAGGACCCCATGACTATCATGTGACTCTCATGGGGTTTTTGGCTTTCCACAATCCTCTCATCATTCATTTAGGCTTCTGCCGCCTTCAGGAGAGCAGCAAGAAGGAAGCGAGCAAAGGACCCAGCTCTCACAAGGCCCAAAAGCTTCAACAGCTTCCGCCAATTCGGATTTAGGGTTTGGGGTTCAGGGTTTGGGCCAAGGGCGCCAAACATTCTAAATGACCGAGGAGCCACCCTCAACACTACACCACGAAGCTGAAAGAGTCATGTCTTTAGTACAGAACAATCGAGAACGCTAGGACCTTAACGCGACACAACGCTGAGGTTCCAAGTGCCCAAAGATTGGTTTTTAGGTGCCCAACACTTTTCAGATTATTATGCCTTGGGCATGGAACTCCAGTATTTGGCTTAGGGCAATATGAGCTATGGTCTTAACTCCTAGTATCCCTCGTAGTGCCCGCATGATAGTGCCCTATATGATCCTTCAGGGTATAGCTCATATGACGTGCAGTTCAACTGTAAGGTTGCATTGTTAGGTTGGTGATGGCCCCTTCAGGAGAGGGGGAGCCGGAAATGACATGATGGGCCCAGGCGTTTGGAGGCCCACCTGTTGATAAATATAACTGCATACAACCCAGACACAGTTATCATTTCGTGCAGGTTCCTAGTCTGATTTGAACCTGGTTACATGACATACATGGTTGCTCCAGGTATCCTTTGGGAATTTACTGGGGGCCATGGCGCCCTAAACCCTAAACCCTTGCCAATCATCTACATGCAACGATGGCTCCTTGGATGCCATGGGAGAGGGGGGGGGTCGCCACGATGGTTGAGGTCTGCAAAGGGGGAGTAGAGGGGGTTTTAGACGAATTTAGGCTCCTTAAAGGGGGTGATAAAGGGGATTATATGGGGGAGTATTATAGGGGCTGAAGGACGCTAGGGTTAGGCCGTTATGGAAAAACCTATTATGTCCTTTACAGACTTACAGTAACCCTACATAAGTTCCCCAGAAGACCTTAGATCAACCCCCAACTGTGCAGGGAACACCGAGGTCGAACCTCTCCCATCCTGGTGATTTAGGGCTTAGGTTTTTGGTGGGTTTCTAGGGGTCATATGTTGGATACTTGAAATCCTGCATCGCCCTGAGTACCTCATACCTTATTAGCGAATTATCGGTTTTCTAGGAAATCCAAGTCAGCAAGGACAATGGAGTATCAACAGTAAGGCCCACGAATGGAGTGTGGACAAGGCTAGAGCTTCCCACCATACTTCCCTACATCCCCAAAATGCTTCTATTTGTGCCTGGCTTGGGTAGCGTTACAGTACTACTTGAGGTGCCCCTGTAAAGAGCCATCCACACCCTAGAGCATTGCTTAACGGCTTTATTCATGATGCTCAAGTAAATGGAGGGCTCTTCTTTCCCGATATATCCACCATTTCATGGGATTTTTTTCCGAAGGTAGAGGTTCTCGTTCATAAGCTCCAATAACGATCGTCTCTATGATGACTCCGAAAACTGGGACCCCTTGTTTGTGGGAACCCCTTTGTGCAGGATTCTGAGGATCTTTCGCGCCGAAGGGCTCAGGGTTTAGGGTTACAATCTACTCAACCTACAAATGACAATGAAAGCTTAGGGAGCTCCCTCAGTAAAAACCCTAAACCCTAAACCCTAACGCAGGAACCCTGCACAACTACTTAGCCTCTGGCGCGGAAAGCTTGTCCCATGGTATGGGAATTAGGGCTGAGCAATGGGAAGGGTCCACGTACCCAAATAATAGGGTCTTAGGTACCGAATTCTAGCCAAGAATTTGGTATTGGGGCCTAATCCTAAACCCCTAAATTAAACCTAGAACCAAAGTCATTGGGTACTTGGACCCTTACGGTTCTACAGCGGCACCCAAAGAATAACAACGATGAGCCAATGCAGCCTATCTGGATCCTACGCGGTTGAGGGTAAGATTTGGGGTTTAGGGCTTATAGGGCAAGCTCCCCCCCCTCCCCCCCGTACGGCAAAAAAGCTGACATGGAGTTGCGCGGGGCCGCCCGAACAACTCTTACACTTACTGTTTGTTCATCGTCTTTTGGGCCCAAACTTCCCAAATTAGGCATACTTTGTAGGCTGTATTATTGTCTTTTGGACCCAGAATTAGGTATACTTTGTAGGCTCTAGGGGCCGCTGGTAGCTGTCATTTGCAGACTTTTGGGTTCAACGTTGGCATTATTTGTAAACTTTAGGACCTAAGGTAGGTATAATGTGTATGTATATGTCATATACATACATGTATATATATATATATGAGCTGTAGTCTAATTGCCTTTAAGCTTGTTTTATAGGCGTTTAAAAAAGACGATTAAATCGGTTGTTAGAGGGGATACTAAGAGTTCAGAAGATGGTTCAAAAAGTCAATAGAGTGTAGCACAAATAGTTCAAGTACCGGATAAGTCCTATAATGAATATTCCCAAAGCTCCAAGTGAAGCTTGTTGGCCCTGGAGAAAAGGTGCGGCAAAAACAAAACCCACAAACCCTAAACGCTTAACCCCAAAGCCTACACCCCAAACAAATGTACAAACCCTAAACCTTAAACCCTAAACTTCAATGTTTTCCTCGAAGGCCGCGGCCCTCACAAAGAAGGACTGTCTGGTAGTCGGCCATGGTAAGCTGGGATTCGCTTCCGCTTAGGGGGGCTCTGGATAAGTCCCAAACCTCACACCCTAAACCCTAAACCCTACATCCTAGGCTGGAGTTTAGGTTTGGGGATTGCAAGTTTAGGGTTTATTTTTTGGCTCAGAGGTTGAGGCTATATGAGGGTTGAAAGGTGTAGGGGTTCAGGGTGTAGGGGCTAAGGGTCTTTAAGTTTAAGGGGTTCAGGGTCCCGCATCTACCTTTTTTTACTCCTGGAGTTTGATTGCTGTTGGGCGGCGATTGAAATGTTTGAGAAGCAAGCAGGTTGTTCGGGCTTCACGTTCGAGAGATTTTCGTGCTTTTGAATGTAGCCCAGTGTTTCTTGCAACAGTGCCCTGCAGCAATGACTGACCTCCTGGGCTGGCTGCACCAGCAGAGCAAGCCCAGCATGCGAACACGCTTTATGAGAAAGCTGACGAGGCGCTGCCTGGACTACGCACGCAATTTCTCTTTGCATTGCCTGGTGTGCGACATCTGCATGGCTTGCAACATCTCAGCCGTGCACTTGCAGATTAGGGAAGGAGAAACAATTTCACTTGGAGATTAGGGATCCTGGCATTGCAGCGGACATGAAGGAGAGGACAGACATGGCGACCAGGCTGCTGCTTTTCTTCGCAGCTCTTGGGAAGTCTCTGGTTGGATGGCAGTGGGTGTGGATGCCGGACATGACCTCCCGCCCAGCAAGCTGGCTTACCTTCGGGCTTTTTTTGTCTGCAGATTCTGAAAAACCACCCTGACATTGCTTCAAGGTTGTTAGGGGATGACAAGCTAGAGTTTAGGTTTCAGAGTTGTATGTTGCGGTGGGTACAATGCCTTCAGAAACTTGTCGATCGTTGGAGCTGCTATCCTACCGTAGGAGTTACTGTCAGAATGCATTCTTCCACCCGGAGCCTTTTTGCCAAAAGATCCCAACCCCTTGTCCTCAGACCGTAAAATAAAAGCCTTAACCTTGCAAATTGCATAGCACCTAATCCCACGCACCCAGAGCTGCCCTTAAGCACGTCTAAGGGCCCGGCAAGCATATGCAGACTTTCTAGGCCTGTACTACCGTTCCGGATACCCAAGAACCAGCCAGACAGATGTTGGGCATATGAACGCTTGCAAGTATCGGCCCCCTAGTCACATAACCATAGTAACAAGTGCCACAACTACAATTGAAAGGAGTTATGACCGTACTTATCCTTCTTAACAAAACTAACCTAACCTACAACGAACTTGTAACTTGGGAACCTCTGCTTGTAGGCACATAACAGTACCTACCAGGTCGGGTTAGGTCTTGGGGTTAGGGTTTAGGGTCTAAGGTCTACAGCTTAGGGTTTAGGACCTAAGATTTAGGGTTTAGGGTTAAGGTCTACAGTTTAGGGTTTAGGACCTAAGATTTAGGGTGCAGGGTTGTCGGGTTCTCTAGGCAGATCTTGCAACCTAAGCCCTGAACCCTAAACCCTAAGCGTAAAGCCTAAAGCTTATGCTACTTGCCTGGGGCTACATCTATAGTTTGGACTATTTGGAGCCTAGGGTTTAGGTATTTCCCAAAGTAAGGGTTTAGGGCTTAGGGCTCGTTGGGTAAAGGGACCAATCCTAAGTAGCTTGAACGCCGCCCCAGGTATAAGGCACCTAGTGTCATGCAGGATTTTGGTAGAAACCCTACAAGCCTTACAAGATCCTCCCAGTTTCCATGTAATTGTTCGATTCCTTCTCCATTTGATTCCCCATTATTACCCTAATCCCTTAACCCTAGTCCCTAAACTTGGAACCCCTCGTGTCCACCAATCAATCGTACTGTCAAGAATGTCTTGAGCCTTTCGCGGCACGTGGAGATTCAACTTCGCCCAGATACCTACGCCTCTGGTATCTTCACCGCTTTTAAGTACAGGGTTACTCACCTCAAGACCCTAAACCCTAACACCCTAAACCCTTAACCCAAGGCCTCCTTGGCATGCTGCACCCCCTTTACGCAGGACTGCAAGAAGAGGAAGACAGCTAAGAAAGGCGCGGCTTTAGAGGTTAGGCTTTGGGATTTCATACCTCCTTGGGAGTTCTTAAAAGGGAATTTCACTTCAGGGTCCAGGGAGCTAAGGGTTTAGGGTTTGGGGGTTTAGGGTTTAGTGTTTAGGAGTCTTGATCACATTTCCAGGCTCAGGGCTGAGAGTACGGCTTAGATACGCAAGGGTGAAGGGTTTAGGATTTCAGGGTTTAGGGTGTAGGGCTGTTGGGAAATTCCCCAGTCGCCACGGATGCATAGCGCGCAGGGCCTAGTTGCCAAGTGTGGGCGCTAAGTCTATCTTGTACCCATGGTTGCCGCAAAGAAATCCCAAGTTGAAGTTGAAGACTTGCAAGTTTTCAACCGAAATGCCAGAACCACAAGTCGCAAACCCCAAAGCCTTAAATCCTAAACCCCCCAAACCCTAAGTTTCCAAGCCTTACACGCGGAATCCTTTAGCTTGAAACCCTGCAACCCCCAAACGTAATCCCCAATCCTGAAGTTCCCAAGACCTAATCCCCCCTAAACTCCAACTCCTAACCCTAAACCTCCGCCTACCCCCAACCCTCCTCCGATCAAAGCCTTTAAGCCAGTGGCCTGCATGTGTGTAACCCCAGGTTTTGGGTCCCAAATACCCTCATTAAGGGCAATATTCCATGGCTTGGGGACCCAAACCTTCAGGGTACAAAGGAAAACTCCCTGATCCTAAGCCCTAAACCCTAAACCCTAAACCCCTAAACCCCTAAACCCTAAACCCTAAACCCTTAAACCCCTAAACCCTAAACCCCTAAACCCCCAAACCCTAAACCAGGTACGGAGATTTGGTGTGGCTGCAATACCAACTCTGAGCCCATCAGTACGGAGGAGCGCCACAAAACGTTTGGGGATTCGCTTGCACCTTGGGATAGTAGGTTTAGGGTTTAGGGTTTGGGGGTTATGTAGGGGGTCTATTGGGATAATGGAAAAGAAAATGGAAACTACTATTTGGGGTCTAGGGTTTTCGTCTTAGGGTTTAGGGTGTTCGTAGGGAATGGAAGAAAAATATGGAAGCTACCATAGGGTTTAGGGTGGTTCGTAGGGAATGAAGAAATAGAAAACAACATGCAACTTAGCGTATTTTTGAGATATAGGTTCAACAACAGGGGGTCATTTCCTGCATACCCCAACAGGGATGTTGGGAACCGTGTGTTAGTGTTCAGGCATTTGGATTTTGTATGGTGGCTTTTTTTGATCAGGATGTCGGTTTTAGGGTTGAGGTCAAGGCGTCAGGACCTACTGCTGGGACCCTAAACCGTAAAACCCTAAACCCTGAAACCCAAAACCACGGGCAACCTAGTGTTGAGGGCTTGGAGACAAGGTTTTAGGAAGGGATCATGCAATCTACTACTTTCTGTGGGGGGTAATTATACAGGGACTAAGGCAGGTTCCGTTTCCTCATTCTCTACTGACTAAGCGCCAGGTAGCCTTCAGAGTGAAGATTTGCGACGACCTTTGGATGTGAGGTTTGGGAAGCCCAAAGCATCTAAGGACACTAAACCCTAACCTTTGGAGGGACCCCTAATAAGGTTCCCTGCTCCCGGTTGGTAGTCCCCCATGGTGCTATTTAGGGACTTAGGGTGTAGGGTCACATACACGAAGGGTCCAAGTACCCAATAGCTATGGTTCCATGTGCCAGAGGCCAGTCAGGATGTAGTAGTTGGGGCCTGACGCTCGTTTATTTGGATACTTGGATCACTCACACGGTCCTTGTCTGGTCAAGTCTTTGTAACGTAACTCAAGCCGTTCTCTGGCTTACTCTAGGACTGGTTAAGGGTCGTTCCCTTGGCGCGGGCTGATCCCAAGGGACAGCCCTGTAAGACCTCAGCATACCAGAGCATCATAACTCCCAAGTGGGAGGCCTTTAAAACCCGGAAACATGGCCCTACATGGGTCCTATATTCAGGGTTTAGGGTGTCGGGTTTAGGGTTTAGGGTTTAGGGCCTACACAAAAGCCCAAAGCCCCATCCGAAGGATACCTGTGAAGACCAGGGTGGAGGCAAGGCTTTGCGTCACAATACTTAGTGGTTATGTGGGGGTTGTATATGGGATATACAGGGTTGATGGAAAAGAAAATGGAAACTACTATTTAGGGTTTAGGGTTGAAGGTTTTGGGGGATATACCTACTTTCTGGGGTTTGCTAATGGGAAGATTCAAGCTGGATGTCATTACCTTTTCTTAGACTCTGTTCTGTTTTGGGCCCCTCAATACTGTTTAGGGTTTAGGGTTCAGGGTTCAGAGACAGGGCTCTCGGTTTAGGACTAGATTTGTGCCGTTGAAAACAACCTCACTTCTAAACCCTAAACCCTAAGGGTTCCCTAAACCCTTAGGTCCCAAGGATATTGGGAAACAAAAGAGGGTGGAGAGGTTGCCTTGTAAAGTTGCTAGTAGCCAAGGCCTGATGAAAGCCTAATCTTTAAGGGTAGGGTTCAGGGTTCAGGGTTTAGGGTTCAGGGTTCAGGGTTTGGGGCCTCAGGGTTTAGGGCGGTTTGGGGACCTACTGTGTCAAAGTCTGCATGACCTG